AGACTGGACCTATTGTGGGACAGACCACAGAGATGCTCCAGGAAATGCTCCAGATGCAATTACTGACAGAAGCTCTTCAGGACCCAGCAGGGTGAGGTCAGTGGGTTATGGCAAACTCTGTTCCCCGTTTAGCAGCAGTGGATCCTGGATCAAAGAGCAAAATGTCCAGATATACAGAGGTCAACAATGGATAACTCAAAGAAGGAAATATTCAGACACCTAGGTAGCCAGACTCTTGGAAGAAACTCAATATATATCAGACCCTGATAGAGGCCTTCTCATAATTCTGCTTCCCTTGCATTTCCCTTCTTACCATTGCTATGAACTTAGCAAACCACAGCCACTCTTCACACATTAGCCGATTTTGAAGTTTCTAAGAAAATGCAAAATATGATTGGCATCAAAACAATACAAATATCCAGAGATCGTGTCATTTCTCCAACCGTTGCGAGCACTAAAGAAAAAGTTCGAGGACCAACAACTTTACAATTTTATGAATAATACAAGGGCCACATTCCCTTCAGGTTCATATGGCTCTTTGGAACCACCACTTGAAATAAAATGAAATCGACATGTTACTTTTCTATCCCCTTCTACTCAGGAAACTTCTTTGTTCAAAAGCAGAGGATTCAGACATCAATTAAAACATTTTGCAGGCTAAAAGCTATGAAATAAGGAGTGGGACAATTAAGCTGTTTTGCTCTTCTTTGTAGATTTATATCGTTGCAGCTCTTGTTGCTACCACTTCCTACCTCAAATGAAAGAAATGTAGAAATAGAGTGGCAAGCATTATTGGAAGTTTGATTGCCTTTAGGAAATGCATGAATTAGAATCAAGAGAATGCCAGAGGTGATTAAAAGGACCAGAATTACTAGTCAGAAAGGAACTGGTGAAACCCCCCAAGACTATGGCCCTGAGTCACACTTTAGGCCTGGAATTGAACTTACTCACATGGCTTAAGTCTCAACCAAACAATAGATAGGCCTATGAAGCTGAACATCTATACCAGGTAGATGCACTCTTTAGAACAGTTAACCAAGAAGGGCCGTATTTGCACAGAAAGCTAAGCAGGTAGGAATGCATTGGCAAGAAGGACATAGGGAAGGAGTAACCACAGTGAGGAAGTGGGAGGAGAGCTGTTACATTGTGGAAATTGTAATCAGCCTCACATATAAAAAAAAAAAAGTGTATGAATTGTTGAATATAAAATGAATTTGCTTTGTAAAATTGCACCCAAATCACAACAAAAAGTTAAAAACTAAAAATACAAAAGAGAATATTAGAGGTTAGAGGTAGTAGTTCAACCTCTACGCACTGGACATAAATAATACACACTGCCATTAAGTCGGACCCGAATCATAGCAACCCCTCTTCGAGTTTCTGAGGTGGTATCACTAGGGAAGTAGATTGCCCAACCTTCGTTCTGAGGAGTGGCTGGTGGGTTCGAACTGCCAGGCTTAAATGCTTAAATTTAAGCAGTTAAATGCTTGAGGCACTACGCCATCAGAGCTCCTGGATATGAATAATAGCAAATGTTCATTGAAAACTTACTCTGAGCCAGGCACTCTTCTAGTACTTTCCAGATAATTCCTCATTTAATCCTTACAACAACTCAATGAGGTAGGTACAATTATACTTGTGTTAAGAATAAGGAAACTGAGGAGGCCCAGAGAAGTTAAGTGATTTGCACAAAGTCACATTGCAAGTGGTAAAATTGGGACTCTAATACAGAAAGTCTATCTTTTGGCTCTTCAACGCTAAATGACTCTAACTCACTTATACCATGGCATAATGAAAGGAAGTATCACTTCCTTTATTGCTAAATGTTACAGCTAAGCTGTATACAATATTCAATGTTTCAGTTAGAAATATATATGAAACATTCACACATTCACAGCACAATTCAAAGACTCAATTTCCTATTATTTAATTAAGCACTGCCGATACTGTTTAAGGTAATGGATGTCACCTAATATCTGATAAGTCTTTACCCTCGAATAAGGAATTTGTGTAAAAAGCCAAAATAAGAGAGGAGAGTATATGGTGCCAGAATTTTGGCATTTCCAAGAGCATGCATTTAGTGATTGGACCACAAATCACTGCCTATAGAGTTCTGTGTTGCAGGATAGCCACTAAGGGTCATTTTTCCTTTTACAGCAATCTACACCTGTGGCCTGTGGGCCACACACTCATGACAGATAACTCCATTTAAATCATCTAGTGTATCATTCTTCTCTTGGTATCCATGCTGTGTTTGAAAATCGTGTTGGCTCAAGGACCTAATTTCTAGTATCAGTTGCACATTTGCCATTGGAGAATGCAGTTTCGTGTCTGTTAAAAATGGGTGGGCTTCATTTTCTTAAATGTACACCTAAAAAGCTCAATTTACTGTTTAAAGTAAAAACTTTCATTAGATTCTCCATGTTCTTGTAAGCTCTGAATTGTAATCTCTTCTCCCCTTTGGGTCATTAGTACCTGGTTTTCCGAAGGGTAATTTCAAAATAAGTGGTCCAGCCTTTGACATGTTTAAAATTAAAAAAAATAATAATAAAAAGAGGGAGGGTGAAATGTTCAGTTTCACTTGAGTTTTCTGAAGACTAATTTGTAGTTTGAAGAGGTCACTCTCACCCCCAACCTTCTATAGCAGTTTCACTCTCACTCATCTACTTTACAATGGGACTCCCCGTTACACCCTCACATTCTAATTCTTTGTATTCATAGAATGAGGACAGAACTGCCACATTTCTCGACATTCTAGAGTCAAAGCTGTCATAATCTGCTGTTAGGTTTTTGTAAATGTCCTCAAGCTGTCAAAATGTTTGCTATGTCTATCAAAATATGCCAAACTCATTTGGGGCATGGGCATGAGCAGCAGTGAAATCTTTCAGACAAATGGGGTTGGATGAATAGCAAATACATGAAGATTACAATGAAAAAGTATAGGCAGAGCATGCTTGCTACTAAATATGATATATTTAAAAAAAAAAAACACTGCCATCAAGTCAATTCCAACTCATGATGACCCCCACAGGATTTCCAAGGCTGTAACTATTTATGGAAGCAGACTGTCTCATCTTTCTCATGCAGAGTGGCTGGTGGGTTTGAACTGCCTACTTTTTGGTTAGCAGTCAAATGCCTTAATCACAGTACCACCAAAGCTCCAAATATTGTAAAAAAATACTTAATGTTATTGGGACATGAATTTATCAATACACGTGGATTCTAGCTCGTTATACAAAACAAGGAATAGCAACAAAACAGTGGTTAGAAACTCTTTTTTTTAATTGCTAAAGATTAAATTTTGTTCTCATACAGGCCAATGTAATTGTTATATTTCAACATATTTTATTAATTTCAAGGCAGTGCTTCAAAATATTGTCTGTCTGTTTCAAATCAGTACCAATACTCCCAAGCACCCTCAGAGGAACTTCTGAAGCCCTGAGATCATATTTTAGCAAACATAATGAAGTAAAAAGGATGGAGAGTCATGTCTACCTAAACTCCACAGCACTGAAGAGCACTTCTTCCTACCCCCATGTGAAACTAAAAATCATTTTGATGTATCCTGTTCATCATGCATGGCTGCAGCATTCCAAGTTAATTAGCTAGGATTGAAAGAAGCAAAGTATATGTTTATAATTAAATTCCTAAGGTTTTGTTTTTTTATGTAGCGTTAAAATGAGAAATTTGAATTTTGTTTTTATTGGCATTGTTTCAATATTTGCAAAAAAAAAAAAGTAGGAGGCTGGTCACTTGCATAGGATCTTCGGACACTGATGGTTCAGAGAGGGTGTGCTAAGGGAAGGGTAAGAGGGAATTTTTGCAAACTGGACATGCATATTTGCATTTCCAGAGTTTTCAGAGGCCAGGATGGAAAAACACCTGGTGATCTACTGTTGTGCCCAGGTTATGAAGGAGTTGCTTGGGGCGAGGAATATGCCAACACACGACAATGCAAAAGCAATAGGAAAGTTTATTAGCTAACTTAAGTTAGGGTCCTTGCTCTTACCAAATCAGTGGCTTGAGCAAAAGACCCCATGCCCCGGTATTTTCACAAATTTATGGAAAAATATGGGGTGGAGCAGCACCAGGGCGAGAGGGTACAGATGATTGGTTGTTGCTAAGGGATTTAGGGTGGTGATCTAAGATGTTGGGGGATGTATAGAAACCCCCCGGCTTCAAAGTCCACTTAGGGAAATATTATTTAGGGAGGATGCAAGGCTCAGGTATGTGGAAGACTTTCAGGAGCCGAGCAGATCTCCATACGTGCTGAATCCGGATGGCTTTTGTGATGCGTGCTGAGTTCGGAGGAAGTTTCTGATACCTGCTGAGACTGGAGGGCAGATAAAGGCCCTAAGGAGTGTTTAGAATTCCAAAAGTCTTGTTAGTATTGCTGACACTAAAAGGTTTCTGGTTAAAGATTTTCCTGGAGGCTACTAGGACTCTGGCCTCAGACTCACACTATTTCCAAAGATCAGCCAACAAAGTCCTATGAATCACAATAGTCCAATCCATGGTCAGATCTACAACCAATCATGGATATGGTACAGGGCTGGGATCACCAAAAGATGGAGGCGGCTGACTTCACTGCCACTAACACACCACCTCCACCTACCATAATACATGCAAGGACGATTATTACTGGGAGGTGTTTTAGAGATCCACTATCCCACACACACAAACACAACTTTAGGCTTCCCCCAAATACACTGATCTCTAAGAAAAATATTTTCAAAGAATAAACTCTCCCTCCTTGATAGGAATGATATTCAAATCAGCAATTTCAAACTAAATAATACAATTTGGTTTAAAGAACTGAGGAATAAAGTTATCAAGCACATGGTCAGGTCCAGGTCTGGCTAATGCTTTTCAGTTCCTTGTTTTAGCTACTAGATATATAAAAATAAATTCAACTAAACAAACAAAAAGCCTCTCTCTGTTTCATCCTAGTCTTTGTCATAAACAGCTCACACCATCCAGTAAACAATATTAGCACTTACCTCAAAAGCACTCTGTATTTTGACAAAGTCACTCACACTGAGTTGGTTTTCAAGCAGGGCTGGGCCATAGTCTCCATCTGCAGTGGTCCAGTCTGTTCCCGGTGGATGCTTTGGCTTAGTGCTTGACCCCACATTTAACTCAAATGTTGCATTCTGGTAACTCATCATTGTTTACGCTTTTCAGCAGCCTTCAAGCATTTCTTTGTTTGTTTATTTGTTTTTTAATTTATCTTCAACAAGTGCCTTCAAAACCCAATTTAGCTATAGAATTCCAAATTGAAAGTGCAAACATTTCAAAGTATACAATTATGAGGTAAAATGTTCCAGTCAAGAGGGAAGTAAAAGCTCTCCCGGACCTCCGCACTTATTAATTTCATAGTTTGTTTTCAAAATTCATAGTCAAATAGCTTAAGGACACCTCCCCCACTTAATAGGTGGCTTGATTAAAATTGGTAAAGCTTCCCCCATGTTTATAGCAACTGACACAGAAGGCAGCTTCCAGTCCTCCTTTTAAATTCATTAAAAAATCAACTTCTCAAACTCTTTGGCTAACCTTGCTTCCATTAACATGTTGTAGTTTTAAATTACATTGTCCTGGCTGGAGGCTTGAGATGACACAGCTGCAAGGGTTCCCTCCCAACAAAGCACTCTCCTCTGAAGGCCACCTTCCCAATAGTGTAGAGATGTTTGTTACCTCTGTTCCTGGTGTCTTTGTATGTTTCCTGGCAACAAACAGTAACACAACTAAAACTTTTCCTTCTCCCTTTCCCCATCTAATGGCTGAACTGAAGCTTTGAATGCATAATGTTCTGAATGTTAATTTTTTTTTTAAAAAAAAAGGACAATTCAGCCTATTTATTATTCATTAAACTATTATTATTTAAAGACAATTTTTTGAAGTATACTTTCTATGAATCATGTTACATATTACAAATGATATGATTAACCAAAGAAAGAGAATGGCATTCTAAAATTTTATGCTTTCACCCAGGAAATATTTTATCTTTATTTAATAAAAATTCCTTTCTTATTCCTCTGCCTTATTTTCTGTGTGTATAGAATGAGGATGGTTCATTCAGTTGTTGCCTTTTCTCAGTATGACACATGTGTGATCTTAGCATCCACAATTACTGGCTGTCTGAGTTGTTTTTGTTGTTAGTTGCTGTCGAGTCAATTCTGACTCACGGAGACCCCACGTGTGCAGAGTAGAACTGCTTCATAGGGTTTTCAAGGCTGGAACCTTTCCCAAGCAGATCACCAGGCCAGTCCTCTGAGGTGCCTTGAGGTAGGTTCAGTAAACTTTTCAATTTACTAAAAACTAAGAAAGAAATGCAGCATGGCATTAATATGACAAACCTTGTGATAAAATTACAATGTAATCACTAGTTCAGCTAATTATAAAAGGAAGAAGAAAGAAGAAAATGGAATTCTTTTAGTATTTTTCATGTTCCAGGCACTAAACTAAGCACTTTACCTTAATTATTTTGTTTAAGCTCCACAATAACACTATGAGACAGATATTATCAACTATCCTTATTTTACAGATGATGAAGACAAAGAAAGGACCAAAAGCCACACCATTACTAAGGCATGGAATATGGCAGAATGGCTCCCGAGCTTGGAACCAGCACGATAGCCTCTCTCTGAGCCTTGACTTCATCTCTGTAGATTGAACAGTTGGCACTAGATAATCTCTGAAGTCTCCTCCAGCTCTAACATTCTATGAGCTGATTCACAAGGTACATGGTAACAACAGTGTGTTCCTTACAACAGAGAAGGGGGTATCCTACAAACAGAATAAAATGAAATTTCATTCATGTGTCTATTCACACATCTGTCCACTCAATATTTGTTCCAAAAACCATTGATTAAGAACCTTTTATATGGTGAGTCCTGAATTGTGTCTGATGCCTGTAGTTGAGGTTACAATCTAGTAGAAGCAATTACCTTTTTGTCCATCTTTCATGCCAGTTCATATATCTTGTTACTTAAAGTGTTGTGTTAAAAAGAATTCTAAAGTCATACTTAGAATCAGAGAAAAAGGATGCCACTATAAATTATAAATAATGTATCAGGGACACAGAAGTTCAGAGAGGGGATATTTACCACAAATTTCTCTTTCCTGATTTAGCCCTTCATGTATTTTAGGTAAACATTTTTAAGCCCTAATTTAAATTCTCCTAAGTCATCTGATCTGGGAACAAAATTTGTCTTTTTACCATATTAGCTAGAAAGTCAATAATTGTTTAGATACAGAACCTTCAGAAATGTTTGCCAAATGTTCTATAGTGATATTTTGGAGAATTGGGCTTAATGCAGTAACAAACACTAATAAGAGAAGGAAGAGGAAAATGCATTCTATGGAGCTGCACTAGGAGAGGTACATATCCCACTGGCTGACAATGCAAAATTCTCTAATAATTTTAGAACAGTCAAGCTGCCTGGCCTACTTAGCTTCCATAACAATGCACCTCTAAATGTTTTCATTAGTCAAAACAGGATCATGTAATGAGCAGCTAAGAAATTACTATAGAAATTAATCAGTTGACACAGTTTCCTATCTGTAAAATCCTACCATTAGAAACAATCCTTGATTGTAAAGTCTTAAATGTCTTTAACCTTCTTCGTAACTGTGTGGTTAATTTTCAGGTTAAACTTCTGCTGCACTGTAAAATTCATAACTAGTCTATTGACTGCTGAAATTTATCTTCTTGCTTGCAATGAACCAATCATGATTTCTTGACTATCTACCACATGATGTGTACGATGCTCTATGAGGACTGTGGCAGTGACAAAGATAGTCCATGCTCTTAAGGACATGACAGTTTAGTTGAGAGAAGCCTAACAAAGTGACACTCGTTCTCCTCTCCTGCAGGGACTGGCCGGCACTCAGAAGTCAGAGTAAGCTGATACGTATAATGGTCTTTCCTTCCTTAGGAGCCTTGTTGTTGTTGTTGTTGTTAAGTGCCGTCGAGTTGTTTCCGACTCATAGCGACCCCATGCACAGCAGAATGAAACACTGCCCAATCCCGCGCCAGCCCCACAATCCCTGCTATACTTGAGCCCATCATCGCAGCCACCATATCAATCCATCTCCTTGAAGTCCTCCCCCTCTTTTGTCGACCCTCCACCCTACCAAGCATGACATCCTTCTCTAGGGAATGGTCTCTTCTTACAACATGACCAAAATAGGTGAGATGAAGTCTGGCCATTCTTGCTTCCAAGGAGCATTCTGGCTGTACTTCCTCCAGGACAGATCTGTTAGTTCTTTTAGCAGTCCACGGTACTTTCAGCATTCTTCGCCAGCATCACAACTCAAAAGCATCAACTCTTCTTCGGTCTTCCTTAGGAGCCTTGGGCCTGAATAATTCTCCCCTCTGAACCCCATGATTGTCATCACACTCACAAGTTCACTCAATCCTGTTCTTTGCCCCCCTCCTCATAATTGATACTCACCAAGCTAAATGAAGGTGGCCCTTTTATTCTAATTCTGAGTCATTTTATCCCATTATTTGTCCTCCCTTCCCATTGCCTCAATTCTTACTAATATTCTTAATCTTTGCTGAAAATTCTCCCTCCACCTCTTCAGTTTAACCAAAACTAGGTTTTCCCTACCAATCCCATTTCCCACTAAAGCATTTCAAGAACAGGCTTGCAGATGCTTCTTGTCCCAGTCCCCTCTCTCAGGGTCAGGAGAAGGATGTCTTCTCATGGTTTCCTTGTCTTTTGGCTTCACGCCTTTGCAACCTGTTCCCAGTGACTGAATACCCCATAGCTCAGTTTAAACACAGCCTCCTCCCAGAGTCTGGACAAAAGCAGCACTCCTGCCTTTGGAACATTGCAAACCTTCAAAGAAGATTAGTTTTTTCTCTCCTTGTTTTCAATCCTCCCTGTTAGAATTAATTAGTCCTTCCAATCTATAACCACAGCACTTTGTTTATACCTTAACCACAGCACTTTTTCTTTCGGCCTTATAATATAATTAGTTGTCTGTGTATCACTCTCTCTCTCTACAAAAAAACTCCCTAAGAACAGAGATGATACCTCACTAACGTCTGTAGCCTTACGTTGCCAAACACAGGTTTTCATATAAACTGTTGCTGTTGGATGCCATTGAATCAGTTCTGGCTCATGTAGTTGTTGTTAGCTGCTGTCAAGAAGGTTCTGACTCATAGTGGCCTCCATGCTCAACAGCACAAAACATTGTCTGGTCTCGTGTCACCTGCCATTCTCAGTCATTGATATGCTTGAGCCACTGTTGTAGCCATTGTGTAAATCTACCTCATTGAGGATCTTCCTCTTTTTCACTGACCCTCTACTTTATTTTATACTTTATTTTACCAAACATTCTCCAGAGATTGGTCCCTCCTGATAACAAACAAAAGTATGAAAGGCAAAGTCTTGCTATCAGAGCTTCTAAGAGGAGCATTCTGGCTGCCCTTCCTCCAAGACAGATTTGCTTGTTCTTCTGGAAGTCCAGGGTATGTTCAATATTCTTTGCCAACACCGTAATTCAAATCTATCAATTATTCTTTGGAAAACTGATGGAAAATACTATGGCTTAGATCAGGTACACCTTTTTTTTCCAAGTGACATCTTTGCTCTTTAACACTTTAAAGAGGTTTTTTGCAGCAGATTTGCTCAGTGCAATACGATGTCTGATTTCTTGACTGCTGCATTGACTGTGGCTCCAAGTAAAATGAAATTCCTGACAAACTCCGTCTTTTCTCCATTTATTGTGATGTTGTTCACTGGTCCAGTAGTGAGGATTTTTGTTTTCATAGTGCCTAAGGCACTTGACTGCTAACCAGAAGGCTGGAGGTTCAAACCCACCAGCCACTCCTCGGAAAGAAGATGGGGCAATCTACTTCCGTAGTGATACTGCCTCGGAAACCTAAGGAGGGGTCGCTATGAGTCAGGTCTGACTCGATGGCACATAATAACAACAACATTATGTTGTGATGTAATCCATACTGAAAGCTGTTGTCTTTGATCTTCAAGTTCTCTTCACTTTCAGCAAGCAAGGTTGTGCTATCTACATATCAGGTTGTTAACGATTCTTCCTCCAATCATGATGCTGCATTCTTCTTCATATAGTCCAACTTGTTGAATTATTTGCTCAGCATACAGATTGAACAAGTATGGTAAAATGATATGATACTGAA